GACATGGCGGAGGCCTCCAGCGAGCTTCAGCGGCACGACCGGCTGTTTGCGGCGCCACCCCGCCGCAGTGGCGGCCGCGCCGCCGCCCTCACCTGCCACCAGGGCTGCCGCCTCCGTCCCGCTTCAGGGGGAAAAATCACCAACCTCCATACGCACCCCTCCCCGACAACCCCCTGAGGGATGGCTCCGCGGGGGGAAACACCAATCCCCCGCAACCCTGGAAAGCCCACCAACTCCCCAAGCCCTATCAAAAACTATCTTTAAGGGGAGGGTCCAGGGGGGGAAACCCACCAAACCCCCTTAGCCCCTTTTCAGAAATCCTCTCTGAAGAGGGGGTTTGGTCTGGAGGGGGAAACCCACTACACTCTCGTAGCCTCCCCAAAACTTCCTCTGAAGCGGGGGTCCGGGGGTTTCCTGCACCCCCTCCAACAAAAAAATATGATGGGGGGTCCTGGTGGGAAAACCCACCAACCCCGCACCCCCCCAAACTCCCCAGTGATGGGGGGGAATCTTGAGGGGTGTTTTGGGGGCAAGATCATCCGAAGGGAGGTTTTACGGGGGTGTTGACTACCCTGCACTTGACCACCTCTGCTGTCGCAATCATCCCACCCACCCACTCGCAACTTGATTTGCAAGGCCCATGCGGTGGCGATTGCGGTGAGTGCTTGACGTTGGCTGGTCCATCATTTCTGCGGCCGCGCCGACCCAAGCACGCGCGCGCAGCGGCTAGCTAGTTTGGCGCGACCTATGCGGCCGCGGTGGCGCTGACCGCCGGGCACATCCCAGCGGGCTTTTCAGTAAGTGCGAGTCGGCGACTTGGGCGGGTGTGGTATCATGGCAACTTTGACAACGATAGACTCGATGATGATAGTAGCGTTGCTGGTGACGATGTTGGCAACGACGACGGCGCGGCCAGTGCGGGCGCCGATGCTGATCACACCGGCGACGATGACAGCGTCGTCGCGTCGTTAATGAAGTTTCTGGAAAGAGTTCGACATGCGCGCGGCCGACGCGCGAGAGTAGCTGGCGTGATTTTCTTTGACACGGATCGTGCCCCTCCCAGCACGCGCGCAAGGGCGTGCAAATGATGTCGGCATGCGGCGCCCGGGGCCCGTTCGGCAAAATTCCGTGAACATGTTGAGAAGCCAATGTTTGCCCCAAGAGTTCGCAAGAGCGCGAGCGCCTTTTTTGGAAACCGACTTTGCGAAACCGTGTGTCTTTATATGTTTGTTGGGTAATCAGTCTTGAATTTGCTTCCAAACCGAAGGTTTTTGGCGGATTTCGGCCTGCGCGCACGACGGCGGGCGCGTGTGCACTTCGTCCTGTGTTTTGGCCAAAGATTCTCGCGACGGCACGCGCGCAAGGGCTTTTGAACGTTTCCGACATGCGCGCGCGAAACGCAGTACATGATCATGCTGAAAAACCAGCGTTTTTCCCCAACATTTAGCAAGAGCGCGCGCGCAAGTTTTTTGCAGAGCCGTGCTGCCAAACCATATTTTTTTAAACGGTGTTTCGGGAATCCGATTGTGACATCCTTACGAAGCCGAAGGTTTTGGAAGCAGTTCGACGCGCGCGCGACAACGCGCGCGTGTGCACTTCGCCCCATCTGGTGCAAGGGAATGGTTGAAAACGGATGATTTGTGATCAACGAGTGCGCGCGCATCATACTTGTTGTGGAGGATGGCGGGTGGGCGACATCGGCTCGGTTGGGATGGTACGAGTTCATATTTCGGATGGACGATGGGGCTGAATCCGGCGTAAATTTCAACACGAAAAATGGGCGGATAATCCCGAGGGGGAGTCGAGTTTATTTAATCGTTTCGCTCATTCCGCCGGCCCGTATTGTGCCATCGCATGCGTTTGCTTGCGCGTTCGTGGCCTCTTGGAGCCTCGGTGGGGCCGTTTGCGGCCTCTTGGCGCCTCTTTTTAGGCCTCTTGGAGAACTCGGGAGGCCTCCAGGGGGCCTCCTGAGCTCTCGTGACGGTCTCTTGGGGGGCTTTCGGCGGGCTCTTGGCGGTATTTGTTGGTCCTCTTGGGGCCTGGGGCCTGACGTTGTTGGTCCTCTTGGGGCCTCACGGGAGCTTATTGGGGCGTCTTGGGGGTGTCTTGGAGAGTCTCTTGGGGCCTCTTTCGGGGTCCTGGGCGCCTTCTGGGGCGGAGGGCTCGATTTTTCAGTTCTCGGTTCCCTTCTTGAGCCCCTCTTGGGCCCGTCTTGGGGCCTCTTGGTCCGCCTTGGGCAGCACTTGGGCCGTCTGGGGGGCGCTCTTGGGCCGCTCCGGGGCCGTCTTGGGTGCCTCGTGGGCCGTCTTGGAGCAGTCTTGAAGGCCTCTTGGGCCCTCTTGGAGCGTCTGGAAGCGAAAAGGCCAGAACGCAAAAAAAAAAAACCTAGAAAAAAACAAATGAAAATCAACGATTTTGGCAACTTGGGGCCCTCTTCGGAGGCCTCTTGGAAGGCCCTTGGAGCGTCTTGGAGGCCTCTTGGGCTGTCTTGGGGCCATCTGGGGCGTCTTCGGGCGATCTTTGGCCGTCTCGGGCCTCTCTTGGACCGTCTAGAAAGCTTCTCGGGGCCCTCTTGGACCGATCTGGAGCCCTCTTGGACTCCGAAACAGAACTCCGGCATCTCTGGCCCGACCTTGCCGGGACCTTGGGAGGGTCGAGTTCATTTGTTTAAAGAAATAGAGAATCAAGGGGCGGTTGACCATAGCTGGAGCCCCGGAGCCCCCCCGAAACACCCCCAAACCTCCCCCCCTGGGTCCGGGAAAGCTCCCTCCCAAAATCTTCCCGTCTGAAGGGGTTGTTAAGGGGGGTTTTCACGGGTGGGGGGGGGATTGTCGCGGTTTTCCTCTTCCTCCTCCCCGTCCTCCCTCCTCCTCGGGACCTGCCCTCTGAGATTCGCGATGTTTGTCTCTTCTGGTGGTGCGGTGCCGTGTAGTAGTCGGGGCGCTGACGAAGGAACTCCTTCCGTCGGGAGGGGCACCATGTCCCTCGATTGTTGTTGAGTTTTTCTTAGGTTGTCCCTAGGTATTCGATGGGACATCGAGATTTGACTTATGGAAAAACGGGGTTTTGTTCCTTATTTCGGGTTCCTTCGGTCAACGCCCCGGCTGTATCCGAGGTGCCCTGGCGGCATGTCGCCCCCGGTCGGGGCCCTACCGCGCCGGCGTCTGCCAGAGGGTGCCGTCGCCCACCCGGAGCTCCGCCTCGGCCCGCTGCGCGCCACAGCACGCGACAGCTGGGGGGGGGGGGGCATTCGTTGCTGGACGGGCAAGATTTTACAGTCGGGGCGCTGAAGCCTCCTCCTCCCTCCTCCTCCTCCTCCTCCTCCTCCTCCTCCTCCACCTCCTCTCTTCCTCCTCTTCCTCCTCCTCCTCCTCCTCCTTCTCCTCCTCCTCCTCGTCCTCTCTTCCTCCTCCTCCTCCTCCTCTTCCTTCTCCTCTTCCTCCTCCTCCTCCTCCTCCTCCTCCTTAGGACAGCACTCAGCCACGCACAGATGAGGTATAACAGGGGGAGGGGGGAAGGCTTCTCAGAAGCGGGGGGGTGTACAGTCGGGGCGCTGAAGGAAGAACCCTTTCGTCGGGGAGGGGTTCTGTGTTCCTTGATAGTTTCACAGCTTGCTCAAGGCTTTCCTTGAGCTTTCGATGGGAAGTCGAAGTTACGCCTCGACTGTATTGCAATTGCGAAACTTGTGCGCAAGAGCATCCACGCGCGATTATCGCATCAAACGCGCAAGCCACTGCATCCAGGCACCAGCTGGTGCAATTTCTACTGCACCTCTCTCCCGTGGATCCATCTGTGCCTGACCCACTATTCCACGTTGCTTCGTCCTCGCCCTCCGCCTCCCCCCCGCGACGAACCACGACTTTTGGCCAGACGGAGGACGCCGACGTAAGATAGTTTCACCCCGCAGCTATAAACTTGGGCCGCCTGCAACGGTGCGCCGTCTGGCGCACGGTGCGAAGGACGTGCACTGTCCGCCTTTAGCGGCCACGTCCCCCGAATGCAAACAAAGTGGCAATATCGATTCTGTATCGTTCCCGACGCAGTGCTCTGCTTGCATGCAGGGTGTCTCACTTGCGCTGTAAGGCACTGGTCATCGGCCTGTGTCCAGCCCCGTGCGCTCCCGAGGCCCAGAGGCGCCCGCTCGCCGCCCCTCGCGCTCGCGGAGGCCCGCCGTGCCCCCGACGCCCGCCGGGCGTGGCTTGGCTTCGCCCCTGCGCCGAAGACCCCGGCCCTGCAGGATCCTGCAGGGATGCGGCGCTCCGACCGGCCCCCGATTGCATTGACCCCCGCCCCTTCCTCCTCCTCCTCCCCCCCCCCCTCCTTCTCCTATTCCTCCTCCTCCTCCTATTCCTCCTTCCTCCTCCTCCTCCTCCTCCTCCTCCTGCTCCCCCTCCTCCTCCTCCTCCTCCTCCTCCTCCTCCTCCTCCTCCTCCTCCTCCCTTCCTCCATCCTCCTCTTCCGATCCGAAGGTGCTGCGGCCGTCCCGCGGCCTGCCCCCTCCGCCCTGGCCGCCCGAGAGGAGCTAGTCCTGGGAGAGCGGGCTAAAATTCGGCGGCGAGCGAGGGGGGGGGGGAGTGAGCGCGGGACGGAAAAATTACCACAGCCATTGTTTCTTGTTTGCTCCGCCTTCCAGCCGGCCGAAAAAGAAGCAGTGGTTGTGGTCAGTTCCCTGGTGCCAAGCTCAACGAAAATGACCACAATCACTGCTTTGTTTCTGCGGGCTGGAAGGCGGCAACAAAAGAAAAGCAGTGGCTGTGGTCGTTTTCACGCCCCGTAGTGAGAAGGGGCGGGCCTTCTCAGAAGGCTCGGAAGTCCCCTGGCCTTCCGAGAAGTTTCCGAAGCCCCCCCCGAAGGCAGACAGACTTCTCAGAGGGCGCGAGGGCTTCTGAGAAGTGCTGCCGCATTCTGAGTGAGAAGGCCTTCTCCTTCTCACTTCCCCCTCGCTCGCCGCCAAAAAATAGAGCCATGTCCACTGCCCACTGGGGCATCAGGACGTCGGTTCCCAGGCGGTGGATATTGATACTTACGCAGACCGAAAGATTTTCCTCTTG